TCACTGAACCATTTCATTGACCCAGTTTTGGGAAACTTTTTAGTGCAGTAGTTAGAAGTGCAGATTCCGGAGCCTGACCCTAGGGTGTCTCATCTTGGGATCCTTTACTCGCAAGGACCCTTTCTCTGAGTCTCATCCATGGCTACTGGGGTTGAGATTTAGACTCCTGGGGACACAGTTCAGCCTGGTGCAGCAGATGTGAGAATGATGGAGCTCACATCGCCTCTGGGAAGCTCTTCTTGCCTTCTCTGCTCCCTTGGGCCTTGCCAGAGTCATGATGGTGGGTTGACCTGGCATAGCTTTCCCTTCTCTCAAACCCTCCAGGTTGTGCCCAAATCTACATAAGAGGTCTCAGTTCTCCCAGTAAAGCTCCTAGGAGCTCACCAAGGAGCCAAAGCCTCTGGCTATGGGACAGGAAGCTGCTGCACTCTCCTTGGTGGTGGCAGCCAGCCAGACCCCACCCCTATTCTGCCACCCGACTGCTTTGACCCCCCAACAGTGTTTCTGTCTTCTTCCCACCGAGGTTCATCAGGCCTGTGACTGCTCCCAGACCTTCCTCACTGTCCCTGGAGCCAACTCCCTCCTTCCTTACAGAGCCACTCAGAATATCCCAAGGAAGCCAGTGCTAAGGAACACTGTGGACTTCTTGGGCAGCTGACCACAGGCACATGGAGGCAACAGAGTGTCCCTAGAGAGCAGTGAGAGGGGAAGGATGGGGGGCCACCGGAGCCAATGCTTGTGCCATGCACTGAAGGATATCCATCTTGGAGGACTTTTGTTTGTGTCAGAGCTCCTCCATAACCCCTGGCCTAGACCTTTTATGCTGTCAGCTCTGTTCGCGATGGCCTGTCTCTGTCACATGTCATGCCTGCTTGCTTCTTTATCTACAATCAAAGATTTCAGGGTACAGCAGTCTCAGCATCTGCTGTCAGGAGGGAGAGCGTGGGTGTCAGAGTCTCTGCTCTGCCAACAGATGACAGGCACAGAGCCAAGAGGGTTCAGGGACCATCGCTGACAGCAAGAGTTACAGCCACAGGCAAAACTCAGTGTGGGCCAGCTCAGCATGTGACAACTCAGAGATCACACCTCCTGCTTGTTTCCTGTGGACTATTGAGAGCTCAGTTTTTCTGAGTTCCCTGCCTCTCTTTAGCTTGGTCATGGCAAGATGCTAGGAAGCTTTGTCCCTTCTGTCTCTGTCACTCTTCTAACATAGTATGAAATCCATATCTCCCCAAGGCCTTGGCTTCTCCGCCTCCTATATCTTGCCTGGAGACAAGGGCTATGACCTCATACACAGTTCTCTAAGCCCAAAACACCCATCACCCTAAGGGCTCAGAACCAACCTCTGTCGTGTTTATTCTCAGCGTGGACCTTGAGGGACCTCAAGGAGCTGACTTTTCTGGAAAGCATCTTCAGAGCCCATCTTGGGTTGATCCATGGTGTTTGTCACTGCCAGGTGTGTGCACCATGCTGCCTCTGCCTATTTGTCTACCAGCTGTGCTTGGGGCATGAAAAGCATCCTCCTTGTGGTTTGTCACATGGTCAAGAAAATTGGATTCTCTTAGCAACCGTGTTCATGTTAGGCTACACATCTCCTATGCTCTTGATCTCACGGGTTGCCACCGGAACCAGATGTCTTAGACACAAGACAGAATCACAGGTGTGAGCACCCTTCACTGCAGTCAGATGTGCTGAGTCCTCATATCAAGTCCACACGGTGGGGTGGGGGTGGGGGTTGTAGCAGGAAGAGAGCTGAGGGAAAAGTTCTTACACAATAGCTAGCTCTGCTTGAGTTACAGGTAGGCAGGGTACTAAATCCTCTACAGTCACTGCATCAGATTGGCACTGTAGTTCCAATGTGAAACAGACATTTTTTTTTTTTTAAAAAAAAAGGTAATTACACTGAAGTCCAGAGAGGTGAAATAGCCTGAAGTCACACAGCCTGTATTAAGATCCAGGCAAATAGGCTTTATCTGAACAGGCCACGTGGGATGCAAAGAACTTTACCTTAGACGGTTTCCTAAAAAATGAAATTAAATGTTAAGCAAGCAGAGGAAGTGGAGAGGACTTTGCAGTGAACAGTCATATCCCACCATTTACCCTCAATGTTCTTTGTTTGCGTTATTACATGCCATCATCCATCCTAAGTTCACTTTATCTTTGTGCATTCCAGAGAAAATTCTAGACCTCCCTGAAAATGTTAGCACGCGGGTTGTTAACTACAGAGTTCAGTATTAGATTCCTGTTCATTATGGAGACATAAGCAAAGTAAGCACACATGCATATGTAAATAGACACCGTTTGAACTTCACCTTGAAACGTGGAAACTGTTTTCTTTGCCCCTGGCTTTGAGTCGGCGTGGGATTCTGTGATTCAACCACGGGGTTATTCATCAGTAGCTCTCCTTATTGCTAGCTGTTGCCTTGTGTAGGGAGCAGTCTCTTTATCTTCCTCTCATCGATGGCTACCCAGACCAGTTTTGAGTTTTTGTAACCATCTGTGACCATCTCCTGGCCTATCGTTTGATAGGTGGGCTTTTGTTTCTTTAGGGAACATACCAAGGAGTGGGGCTTGCCTCGGAACCCGTGTGTTCAGTTACAACAACCTGCCCTGTCATTTTCCAAAGTGGTTGTAGTAGTTTACATTTGCACTAGCAAATCCAAGAGCCTTCAGAACCTGAACCGCCCTCAGCAGACGGGTGGTAAGGGCAGTCCAAATTTCAGTCAATTCTGTGGTGTCACCTTGGTGGCACCTTGTGGTTTTAATTTGCATGTCCCTAATGACCAAGGGTTTTGTTTTTTTTTTTTTTTTAGAGCCTTTCACCTGCCTTTAGAGAATCTTTTCAGATCTTTTGACTTCCCTTTTTTAATTGACTTGCCTGTCCTTCATGAATTATGTGTTTTGTAAGTATCTCTCCCCAGATTGACGGGCAGAGGTATGTGTGTGTCTGTGTGCACTTGCATAGGTGCATGTGTGTGGAGGGCAGAAGACAGAGTCTTGTGCTGTTCTTCAGGCTCCTTCCACCTTGTTTGTTGAGACAGGGTGTGGTGGTTTGAATAGGAATGCCCCCCCATAGGCTCATAGAGTTGAGTGCTTAGTCATCAGGGAGTGACACCACTTAAGAAGAATGAGGAAGTATGGTCTTGTTGGAGGAACTGTGTCACTGGGGGTAGGCTTTGAGGTTTCAAAAGTTAAAGCTAGGCCCAGTGGCTCTTTCTCTGCCTCCTGCCTACAGGTTCAGATGTCGGACTCTCAGCTCTGCTCCCACCATGATGACAATGAACTAAACCTCTGAACCTGTAAGCCAGCCCCAGTTAAATGCTTTCTTTTATAAGAGTTGCCATGGTCACAGTGTCTCTTCACAGCAATAGTAACTCTAACTAAAACACAGGGTCTAAAACTCATCAAGAAGACTGCCTGGCCGGCAAACCCCAGGTAGCCCCAGGTATCCATCTGTCTCTACCTCCTCAGTGCTGGGCCTGCAAGTATGCACTGCCATACCCAGCTTTTTACGTAAATTCTGGGTATCAAACTCATATCCTCACGCTTGTATGGCAAATACTATACCTACCAAGTTGTCACCCCAGACTTGGGCAGATGTTTTGACTCTAACTCAACTATTCTTCTTATACAATAGTTGCTTTCCCCATCTCCTCTCTCTCATACCTTGTTGGTCTGTCAGCTGGAGTGAGTTTTGGGCAAGAAGACAAGAGCCCCATGGGAATTATAGGCAGACAGGGAACTCAAGCAGGAGACTGTAGAAGGATAGGGAGGTTCTGTGGGCATGGTGGACAGCAGCCTTTGGGGGCGAGATGTCCTTTCAGGATGAAAATGTCTTGACTACGAGGGCACTGGCCTGAATTCTTAGGAAGTGGGAGCCACAGTGGCTTTAGAGGAGGGTCACACAAGGTTAGAGTTTCCACTTGGTCACCCAAGAGCAGCAGCCTGCACTTCATAATGCAGGGAGGATTGTGACGGAGAGGGAGAGGCTCCACCTCTGTGGGTCGGCAAAGATCCCACAGGAAGCCCAAGGTCTGGTTCAGGGAACAGGATGTCAGAGGCTCCTTCCCTAGGTGCTGGGCCTCTATAGGAGCTGTTTGAATACTTAGAGCCAATGCCCCCAGTGACTCCCAACACTTGGGAGTTCCCTGCCTACCGGTTAACATCACCTCCTACACTCAACCCTTAAACCCAGGGTCCTTCTGCCTGAACACATATCTCTCACAGACACCTGCAAGTTTTCATTCCAAAGTCACTGTGTAATGGGTTCCTCCTTGGTTTTCCAGGACCCCTGCCCTTCCCTGCAGTTCTGTTGTTTGCCATATTCTACCTGCCTGCCTTCTCTCTCTGAAATACAAATTCCTGGATGGTTTGTGGGGTTTCCTTCTCTTTCTTTCTTGACAGTTTTACCCTCTGCTGTCACCTGAGCCTAAAATGCTTTCAGCCTATATTTTCAATAAGGCCCAGTTATTCTTATATTTTTGGTCATGAGCCTGTCGTTAATGGCTGAGCCATCTCTCCAGCCCAAGACCGGTTAGTGACCAACCTATGGCAAGTCACAGTGGATGGTGTAGGTCTCTCTCATTCATGGAGGTAATTACATGGGTGTGGACAGGCAAAAATGGAGCTAGTTGTAACTCTCATAGCCCACCAGGTGTTCTTCAATGAAAAGGTTTCAAAACCCTTCTTCAGGGATCCTCTCAGGTGCCGCCATGCTTCCTTCAGTCCACTGGGACTGAAATTTAGCTACTGTGTCCACTCTACTCCTGTTATTTTTAGTCCCTTCTTGTGCTGTAGCTGGCCATTTCTGGATATGTCTTACTTGTTATAATGATAAATGCCTTACCTAGAGAGTCACCTGTTGATCTCATTCCTCAAAAGGGCTCTGGCCACACAGATGCTAAATGAGCAGATGGGTTGCTTTAATCTGCACTTATTGTTACCCTCCCAAGGCCAGCTGTGGGATGGGATGGCCATTTGATTCTATGTCCTGTTCTCAGTCCTATTCCAGATGCTGGCAAAGGAGAGGGAGAGGAAGATGAGGAGAAAGACGGCATGAGGCTTGGTCTGCCAACCACCCCGAGGAACTGCATCCCACGGCGGGGCATCAGTGTCCTGGAGAAGCTGGTGAAGACCTGCCCTGTGTGGCTGCAGCTAGGGCTAGGCCAGGCGGAGGCTGCCAAGATCCTGCAGCGGGAGATGGCTGGGGTAAGGCAGTTCTATGCACGCCAGGGAGGCAGGTACAGCTGTGAGGGGCTCAGGATGCTCCCCACAGAAGTGCCTTTATGCAAACAACTGCTTTCTTTCTGATCTTCTCTTTGCTTCCATCTGTTCCTCTGTCACATCCAGCAGTGGGGGTCGGGGGAGATGTGTGCTGGAGGCATTCAGGCACCAGAGATTGTGCTGGCTTTCTCTTGGCTTTGGGAGCTAGGCCACTGATCAAAGATAAAGGTGTCAGGACACATGATCTACCTGCTCCTTATTTATGGACAAAGATAAGAGGCCATGTGGTTCATCGGTAGATGTTCTGGAAGCTTTGAGGTGGGCAAATGACACCAAGTTTCTGGGTCTCATTTTTGTCTCTTTGAAATAAGAGCTTTAAAATCTCCTCTCCAAGTGCTGATCCTGGTACGTGGGAAGAGGGAATGAGCAGTAGTGGGTGGGTGGGTGGGTAGATGATGGATGGATGGATAGATGGATGGATGGATGGACAGACGGATGGATGGATGGATGGACAGACAGATGGATGGATGGATGGATGGATGGATGGATGGATAATGGATAGATGGATAAATGATAGATGGATGAAGAATAAATGATGAACAGACAAATATGGATGGATGGATGGATGGATGGATGGACTGATGGATGGATGAATTATGGATGGATGATATAGATGGATGGACAGACAGATGGATGATGGATGATAATAACTAGAGGATAGATAGAGGATGGATAAACAGAAGATGGGAAATTGAGTATGGACAGATAAAGTGGTGGCTGGATAGACAGATAGAGGCGCCAGATGACAGTTGAAAGAATGAGCCACAGCATGCCCTCTACTCCTGTCACTCCTATACCTATTTTCTCAAATGCTCTTCCCTTTTGAAAACAGCTTGTAATTTGTTTTAATTATGAAAGTGATCCGTGTCTGCATTCATTATCTTTTAAAAAAACAAACTGGACAGAAACGAACAAAATTGTCAGAAGTAAAATGTCTTATAAAGGTTTTTTTCTACCTACTCTAGGCCAACTTCACTTCCCAGAAGGCATTTAAAAAAACAAAAGTTAAAGCAAAATATGCATCACGTCCCATAAAAAGAGACATTTAAAGTGTACCACAGGCATTTAGTGTTCTCCAGGTACTAATGCCACTACTGCCTCCATCTGGTTCTGAGGCATTCTCCCCTCCCCAAAAGACAGTCCTCATTAGCAGCTTCTCTCCGCTTTTCCTCTCTACCCCAGCACCCACCATGCTTCCACAGTCATTTTAACAGAGGCGAACGTATGTTCACACAACACCCCTCACGCTAGCAGCCGTGTTCCCCAAGGGTTCACTCTGTCTGAGCCTCTCTCCCACTGTCTGCTCAGGAATGAGCCGTGATCTCCTAACTACTTACACCAGCTGTTGCTACTTCCCAGGAGCCACAGGGAGGAAGTGGCAGAGCTGGGATTTGAACCTGGGCAGTCTAAATGCTCCTAGACTCTATCTCTCAGTGTCTGTCTGACATTGAGGACTCTTGCTACCTAGCTATTCTCATCTGGGTATGGCTTGTGGCACTTCTGTATCTCTTGGGAATCATCCTCAATGTAGGACTTGAGGTGTAGACTCTTACCATAAAAGAAATAAGATCCATGGAGCTGTCATTTGTGCATGAAAAACTGGGGTGACTGGAAGGCAGGGGGTCAAAGTCCCAGTCACATTGCCACAGAGCATGCAGAGCTGGGAAGGTGGTAATATCCCTGAGCCCACCCAGCCCATCCTAGTTCAGCCTAGGTATCCATAGATGTGTCTTTCCCCTCAGGAATGCACAGCAGGAAGCAGGGAGATCAAAGATGCTGTGACCCAGATAAAACCTGCTATGTATTCCTTTCACTAAAGGTTTCCAGTCCTTCAGTGACTGGTGCCCACACAGTAGGTACCCTTAGCAGCCTGTACCTTCCCCTCCTCCATTCTTAGAGGAGGCAGCTCAAAGCAACTCAGGAAGCAAGCTGGTGGCTGATGCATTACTAGTTGCTTTTCTGTTGCTGTGACAAACACTCTGAGCAAGGCCACATACAAAAGAAAGAGTTTATCTGGGTTTACGATTCCAGAGGAATAAGAGTCCATCATGGAGAAGTGGCAGGCCTGGCTACTGGAGTAGCCAGCTGAGAGTTAATATCTTGACCCATAAGCACAGATGCAGAAAAAGCAAGCTAGAAGTAGGTTAGAATTTTTACTCTCAAAGCCCACCCCAGTGACATATTTCCTCCACAAAGCCACACATTCTAAACTTCTCCAAACAGCACCACCAACTAGTGACCAATTATTCAAATGCCTGATGTGTGTGTGTGTGTATTGGGGTGGGGGGTGGGGGCATTTGTCATTCAAACCACCACAGCTGGCCATTGGGAAGCCTGTGTCCTGGGTGTATGAATTTGGGTCTAGACTGAGTTATGAGGAACAGATTCATTGTTTCTGCCTTAGGTAGAACACTGATGCGGGTCACACCACAAACTGGGGCAATAGAAGTTGTGGCCTTGTCAGCAGTATTTCTGTGACTGGAGTGGAGTTCTGTGGTAGTGTATGTGCTGTGTTTAGTAACACCTCAATCCTTGTATCATCTTTTCTTCAAAAAGCACAAAAACTTGACATCTCCCAGGTCCCTAGGGTTCTGTTTGTTGTTTGTGAGCACCAACCAGATGTCGAAGGCTCTCCCTTTGTCCCATATCACAAGCCATAAGGAGGCTTGAGTTCAGATTTTGTCAGTGCCAGCCTTTTAGAGCCTCTGGTGTCCTGTAGAGAATCCTTAAGAAGCAGCAGAAAGAGAAAGAGATGGGCAGAGGTTATATACACTAACTGAACCCCTGGAAGGCAATGTGGAGGGCACCCCTGAGGCTCTGTCATCTGAGGGTCTGGGGACATGGTGCTGTTCACCAGTCTGTTACTGTTTTGAAGGTTAGATGGTTCGTCAGCCTTTTCTCTCTGCCTGTTCTGTGAGAATGGTCACCTGTCAGGAACAGCCCTGGGATAAAGTGATACAGAGCTAGTTGCAAGAGGCCAGGCTAGAGTCAGGAGTCTAAGAAAGGCCAGGTGCTGAGCAGAGAGAGGGTTGGGGGATAAGAGGGATGGGATGGTGGTGATACTGTCACCTGTCTCTGGTTATGAGGCTAGTGAGTGGCAGACCCAAGTCCAGGCCTACCTGTGCAGAGTAGAGACACCAACAAAGGAACAAGAAAGAAACAAACACATTCACCTTATATCCCCATATTGCACCTGCACAATAACCATGGATAGAAAATATTTAGAGGGGGCAATTGCAGCTGCACTGAACAGTGCAGACCCTAAATGGTGCAACGTAACTCCCATTTACACAGCACCAGGCTGGCTTAGAACAAATGATCCCAGGGTGGTTGAGTGAAGACAGGAGGATGTGAGCAGATTATAATGAGATTCCGGTGTCCTAGCTAAGGACAGGGATATGTTCTAAGATGCGATCACTGGGCTATTTTATCATTGTTGAGCCAACATCCCATACCATACTTATACAAGCTAAGATGGCTACTTGCTGGTATTATTTGGTCCTTGTACCCGTTTCTGACAGCTAGGCGTAATCAGCACCCCTCTTTGCAGATGAGGAAATTGAAGCACAGAGATGTTGACTCTTTTGCCTAAAATCACACAGCTAGGAAGAGTGGAACTGGCAGTATAGCTCAGTGGATTCAGGCCAGCGTGGACCACGGTGTGAGACTCCATTCCATAGAAAAAGGAGAAAAAATGCCCCTTGGGTGATCTTCAAAGATGCTGGGAAAGTCCTTTGCTAGTGCGGTTCCCATAGAACCAGAGCAGTGATGTCTTTATTCTGAAAGAGACAAACATCGTGGGTGGTCCCTGTGTTGTAAGACACAGCCTAGAGATCTGGATTTACCTCCTGCAACATTGTGAGAGGCAGCCTTTGTCTTGTCTGGAGCCAGCTCCTTTGTCCCCAGTGTCTGTGTGACCTTGGCCACATCTACTTCCTTCCCCAGGACAGACCTCATGCCTAGCAGCCTCTTCTCGGATAAGGAGTTGGAAACACTGTGGTCCCCTTTATAAAAGGGGAAAAAAAAACAAAAAAACAAAACATATGTATTCAGCAACAGGACAACCAGAAAGTTGCCTTTATTTCTTCTGCACTCAGGCTGGTTTGTTATTTTAGTTAGAATGGTTTTAGAGTTATGGAAAAGTTGCATGCATAGAACAGAACGTACCTTGTGCCCTGAGAACAGAGCCCGCCCTGTGTCCACCCCCACACAAACTCCCTTGCTGACAGCAGCTAACCAACACTTGCCAGTTACTGTACCAGTCCTGGTACATCAGTGTCAACCAAAGCCTGGACATGGTTATACCCGATGTCCTCTGTCTGTGCCAAGACCCTTTCCAGAACAGAGGCAAAACCAGTGACAGCCCATCATTCAAAGGTCCTTTGTGTGTGTGTATTTTTTTTTTTTTTTTGCTGTTATGATGAATTCCTGAGAGAAACGGTTTAAAAGATGAGAGATTTATGTGGGCTCATGGCTTGAGAGATCTCAGGTCGTATTTGGTTAACAACATTGCTATGGACCTGAAGTAAAGCTGAGCTGTGGCAGAGAGCCAGTGATAATGGTGGACAGGAAGTGACAGAGCAAAGTCCATCACCTCCTGGTAGACAGGAAGTGACGGAGCAAAGCTAGACAGGAAGGGGCAAGGGACATATAAGGACCTCCTCCCAACTGATCTACTTCCTTTTAGCCAAGCCATACCTCCTAACGTTTCTAGAGCCTCTGAATTAGCCCTAAGTCAGGGACCTCAGCTTCAAGTCTGCAACATGTGAATCTGTAGGGGACATTTCCTATTAGAGCCACAATAGGTACCAAACAGGCTTATGTACCTTGTCCTGGTGGTGTCGGCTTTGCTTGCTGCTGACAGTTTGTGGCATCTCTCTCCCTCAGCCTCATTCTTGCCTTTCCCCCCCCCCCCCCCCCCCCCT